TGAAAACTTCGCAATCGGAATAACGTACATAATCTATGTTTTCTTTCCTTACTACTTCATAATATTGTTATAAATTGTTGCTAAATTTTTATTATTATTATAATAATATTTTGAACAAAAATGATCAAATCCATCATTGTCAATTCAAATATTGTTAGACAATAAATATGAAAGACAACTAATAATATGATTTATTTCTTGATTATGAAAAAGAAACATTTTACTAGAATTCGATTTCAGCCATATTCACATCCAACATTTTATTGTAACATGGTGAATTTGGATCCATAAAGTGTTTATGAACTATTCAAATAAAGAAAAAAAAACATTTTTGTAGTTCAATGAAATCATATTTAATTAAATCAAACTTACTATCAATCTCATCAGTTGCTTGGCATCGCCAACAAAATTGAATATTACATAGTGTACATCTTACTGCATTACATCCAGCATATTTATCAATTGGTGTTCGACATTTAGGACAAGGCTTGTAGGATAGTTTACCAAGATTGTATTGTAAAATTGCATCTTCATTTTTTTCTTTATGTAATTTTTTATATTGTTCACATGTCATACCAGTATGATATTCAACTGCACATGATACGCAATAAACTTTGATACACTGATTGCAAAAATATATTGAAGAAGATTTCGATGGACGATATACCTGAATGAATAAATAAATGAGTCTGATTTTGGAAATATTATCAAATGACATGTCTATTTGTATTTGTTTGTATTGCAAGAATAATTTTTAGTAGAACAACAATATGAATTCAAAATAATTTCATTCAATACATAAAATAATCTTAGTTTTTTAGGTTAAAGCTGACAAAATATGAATTGAATTTAACACATTTCTCTAAAACTTTGACGATGTAAATAATTATAAACTGAAGTTGATAATTGGTTTTCTTAGAAATTGATTAAAGATAGTAATAAAGACCAAACAATCCACAGCAGGATCCATTCAATTGTCTCTCCTATGACCCATTCTCTATTCTACGAATTTTAGTGAAAATTCACTCTAAAACTATTGAAGTCTCAATTTTGAATGAATTTTTATTCTCAAAAGATCTAAAAAAGAGGATCCAACTTATAGAGACAGATTTCTTATTGTAGATAACTTTAAAAGTTTTGATTTCATGATTGACAAGAGACAAACATTTGAAATTCTTAGTTTCAATAGAGTTTATAGTGAGGAGGAAACAGCAGAGATTTCAGTCATGAAATCTTTTGAAGTTTCTTATTGTGTCATACTTGTTTACAATCAATTCCCATACATTGAACCAAATTACTATCAACTCGACGAATATAAATTTGAAAAGCAATCATCGCTAGACGAGCCATTCGTTCAAAGCCAAGTATTGAAACAATATCACGAATGAGACAAACTTCATTACATTCTTGACATGGACAAGATAATTTAAATGTCTCAAAACTTTTGGTCGCATCGAAATATGTATCAAAATAAGCACTCAAACATGAACGACAGAATATATGTCCACATTGTTGCAATACATAAGGAGAATCATATTCACAATCACATATTGGACATATGTTCTTCATATCTATCGTCTTTTTTCCATTTGATTGATTGAAACTATTTACAAATTTGTCAAGAAGTTCTTTCACTTTTTGTTCACATTCAATAACTTTTTCTCGATCACCGATCATTACAATTAGATGTTTAATTATATTGATTGTAATTTTTATTTGCTTATTGTTCGATTCTCGAAACATGCTCCAATTTTGAATACATTGTCGAATACAACCTTTAAAATTGAGAAATTAAATAGTTAATGTAATATAAATTCAAAACTAACCTTCAGGAATTGAAATTGAAACGGAATGTTCACGTTGTGAAAATGTTTCTTCAATAAAAGTATCTATCTGTCTATAGGCATCTTGACATGCGTGATCTTCACCGAAAATGCTCAAAAATGTCGATTTCCAATTCCACCAAATGTATGTACCAGTACGAGTTTGTACATCATGAAGAAACTTTTGTCCTGTCGCATCGAAAAGTACTGTGACCTAAATGAAAAAAATGAACGCTACGTCTTAAATATCAATATGGAGATTATCGATTTTTTCCAGAAAATTTTTGAAGATTTCTGTTACTTCCCAATCGAAAAATAAGCTGTTTTTTGAAAAAAACTAAAAAAAAAACATTTTTCATCTTTTCTCGTTCTATTGGTTCTCTAGATCGTATCTCCAAGACTTCTCAAAGAAGCATCATTATAGCCAGTAACTTTTTTTTTGTTTGAAAACTTATGTCTAGAACTAGCCCCCTCTCGTGATCCCTTTTTTTAAAAAAGCCGTTTTATTTTCATATAAGAAAATACTTCTATAAAAACAGCGCTATTTTTTTATGGGTTTTTTTGAGTCATTAAACTTGTCATCTCTTTTCTTCGCTTAAAAAGTAAGAATTTAGAAAAAAGAACCATGAGAGGGGCTAACCCTAGACACAAGCTTTCAAACGAAAAAAAAAATTAAATGTATAGAATGAAGGCCTACAGAAAATTCTTGGAGATACCAAAGAGCTATTTTTGACCCTTGTTTGGTGAATATCTATGTCAAACGTCATGATATAGGGTTGAAAATTTTACTATAACCAACGTTCACCAGTCCCAACATATCTTGAAAGTTTCATGCAATTTGGATGTCCCTGGGCCGAGATTCATTTTTGAATGGTGGAGAGCTCAAATAAATTTCATAAACTTTAAACTTACCCATGAATGATTGTAAAGATGAAATTGTAAACCTTTCAATAAATCATCAAAGATCATACGTGCTTTGTAAAGTTGTTCAATATTTGTTCCTCGAATTGTAATAAGAATATTGGTTTTATTATCTTTCATGAATGGTTTTTTAAATAGATTTATATTGGGTAAATCTGGATGACCTTTGATTATTTTTATAGTTTGTTCAATTTTATAATCAATAGCTTTTGCAAGTGTTTCATTGAGTAGAATTCGATGAGTAATAATAGGAATAAAATGAAGTTGATTTAATCCAATATTTTGAAT